GGGCAGTGCTGCTGCTGCGGCGGCGGCGGCCGATGCCGAGGTGGTTGCTGCTGCGAGTGAGAGCATGTCGTCTAGCGGCTGCGGCGGCGACGGGGGCTACGAGGTAGGATGGTGGTGAGAAGGAGCTGGCTTGCTCGACTGGCACACTCCACAAGCTGCCAGAGGGGGTCAGCCCAGCGGTCAGCCCAGCGGTCAGCCCAGCGGCCAGCCAACGAGAAGAACCGGCCCCGCGCTCGCCTTTTGTTTCATGCAGGCAGCCCTGGACCGGCCTGGCAGACGCCAACGTCAAAATCGCACCCACCTCATTCGACGACCCGCGCCCGCCCCGCCTCATCGAGTCACCGCCGGCCCCCCGGCCGAGCGTACGGATGTCGGATCGGGCCCCCTCCCGCGCCGGCCTGCCTTGACCGCCGCGCCACGCAACCTCGAACTGCACCGCCTGGCACCTGCCTCTCCCCCACCGCAAAGCCACACACCGGCCACTCGAATGCCACGCCGTCGAGCTGCTGCACCATCTTATATGGCGCGGCCAGAGAAAACAAGGAAACAGTCTATGCTACAAGCGTGTGCCATCAGGGCAAAGTGCAGATCCCAGAGAAAAAGAGTAGAGGGGGGTCAAGGCATCGGATAAGACGCCCAAGGCCAACCTAGAGACAGCAGCTCGCACTGAGCCAGAGCAGCGTGCGCGCCACAAGCTCGATACGCCCAGCGCTCGCCCGCCGTCGTCGCCGTCGTCGTCATCCTCGCCGTCATGCCACCGTCATCACCGCCGACACGGCCAGCACCGCCGTCAAGCCCATCGCCAGCAGCATCGTATGCGCCCAAGACGGCGCCAGCCTCGAGCCCAAGGCGTCGTTGGAGCTGCTGCTGATGCCATCGAGGAGCAGGCATAGAAAAGACAAGGGTGAGACCGCCAACGACCAACCAAACAATCAGCTTCAAACCGTCCTCTACTCGGCTCGCACCACGACCCCCTCAGTCGGGGGGGTTGGCACCGCAACTCACGCATCGCCGCCGTTGGACAGCTGCCGCACCGTCAGCACCGCCACCCGGCCATCCTGCACCGGCTGGCCCGGCAGCGCCACATCCGGATGGTTGATCTTGTCGCTGGTGGCGTTGAGCAGCACACCGGCATCGACGTACTCGACCGTCGTCCGGAACACGTAGCCCCCGTAGCTCGTCGTCTCGTTGCTCGTCGCGTTGCGCGCAAGGTAGTCGCGCCCGCGGTTGTAGCCGTCGAGCTGCACCTTGTGGCCCAGCGCCGCCGACTCCTCCATCGAGATGGCCAGAAAAATGGCCCCGCTGAAGCCGTCGGTGCCGTTCTGCAGGTACCACCGGAAGTGGTTGTCGCCCTCGACCGACTCGCGGCACGTACCGATCGACGTGTCGCCGTAGTTCCAGCGCAGCACGCCGTTGTCGCCGTTGCCGTTGCCCTGGATCCGGTCGCCGAAGCCGTCGCCCAGGTTGGCCCACTGCGCCGTGCCGTTGGCGTTGCCCAGGCACGACACGCCAAAGTTGATCGAGCTGGGCGGTGAGAAGAGGCCAGCGGATGCGGGGAGGGCAATTAAGAGGTCGGTCAGCAGGGAGCTCGGGTCTGGCCTGGTCGTCGGACGGCGAGACGGCACTTGTAGAGGAGCTGGTGCTGCCGCGCCGATGTACGCACGTGGCGTAGCGAAGGAAGCCCTCTGGGCAGAGGACCTCGGGGTCCGAGTTGCCCGAGATGATGCCGTTGATGGGCTCGCCGGGCGTGCCGCTGCCGTCCTTCCAGATCTAGAGTAGTAGGAAGTGGGTTGGCATGCGGGAGAGCGGCGTCGGGCCAAGTGGGGCGGAGGACGAGGGGTCAGAAGAAAGCCAAGCCAGACGTCCAGGATGGCCGCACGTGGGCGGGCGCTCGCACGGCCTCGCGGGGATCATCATCGCGACCAAAGCCAGGGTACGCCATCGACGCGGGACGACTCACGGTGAGCATGGAGCCGGAGCCGTTGTTGGGGTTGAAGTAGCCCTGCTGCGGGAAGGGTTCGGCCCTGGAGGTGTTGTACCTCTGTACGCAGCGCTGGTTGATGGGCGATGCGCGCTTGGCGAGGTGGTGCAAGGGGTACGAGGCATCGCCGCTGCTGCTGCCGGCGGCGATGGGGGATGGGGTGGCCGATGCAAGGGCGGCGAGGAGGGTGATGCCGCCGAGGATGGCCGTGGCGAGGCGGATGCTGGTGTTGGCGTCCGAGTTGGACATGGTGCCGCTCGTCGTCGTCGTCGTCGTCGTCGAGGCGGTCAAGGGGAAGCTGGGGCTGGACCAAGGAGCTGCTGGGACGCGTGGTACGACGATGTCGGAGCGCAGCAGCGACCCTTGTCCTGTATGGTTTGTCCCGTCGGCCGGGGTGTGTGGTCGCTGCTGTACAGAAGATCGAGTGGCGGGCGGAGGTCGAGAGACGTGAGAGATGGGATGCAAGACGGAGCGATGGTCGAGGCGGGGCGAGGCGAGGCAGGGCGCTTGGGACAGTTGACGATGGAGATGGTGTCGAGCGGGTTGCGTCGTTCTAGAGGAAGAGTCACGAAGGACGCAGAGGCGGGCAGAAGCCTGATTCGAGTAGAGAGGAGGCTAGGATGCTGGGTTGCTGTGATGCTGTGATGGAGGGCAACCAGGGGCAAGAAGGTACGGAAGACCAAGATCCAGCCGGCACAAAGCGGGCACACAGCCATGGAAGCCAGAGAACGCTGGGCACTCGAGCCAGAAGGGTTGGGGGTGCCAGAGAGCGGGGCCCGGCCAGGCAGGGGGGCAGGGCAGGGCTCGCAGGGCAGGTCGATGATGCTTGACCTGCAGCAGGCGGCTACGGCCCAGCAGCAGGTAACTAGAGGCTTGGCTGCGAGCCAGCAGGGGGGCAGACGCCGAAGCCATGCGCTGCGCTGCCTGCGTTGCGTTACCTCGCAGCCAAGCCAAAGAAAACGCCGGCCGACGTTTGGGCTTCCGTTCGGCACGCAGCCGGCGCGCCGCCCGCCCCGTCGTCGCCGCTTTTCGCCCTCAAGCTTGGCTGAGCTCAGGCCACACCATGCCATGCCATGCCCATGGACGCTGCGCTGGCCCATCACCAACCCGCCCTTCCTTCAAGCATGGCAAGCCATACTACTGAGCGTCGCGACAAGCGGCCTGGCCCGACCTGGCGACGAAAGAAGCTGGCTGCTGGCTGCATCGGTGCCGCTCGGCTGGCGTCATCGATTCGACTCCGAGCGCGCCCAACAGGCCAGGCAGGGGCGCGCCCGAAATTACCCAACGAGGGCCGCGGACCGGGCCTTTGCGACCGGCCTGTGCTTGGCCTTGGCCTTGGCCTTGGCCTCGGTTTGTGTTTGCGACTCCGCCCCGCCGGGCTCTGTCTTTGGCCCCGGCCGGCCTGTGCTTGTGCTTGGCTCGATGTGGCTTCTTCGTGGGTCGGACCAGCCCGCGCGCCTTGCTTGTGTGCTCGTCTCGCCGCTCAGCGTGCTGCTTCCTTCCTTTTTCTCGGTCGTCGATTGACGTACTGCTGGTCTAGTCAGATGGGCACCCTCATCCGACGTCGCAGCGCGCTGAGGCTCGAGCATGCATGCCCTTGCCGCGAGCGTCGACCTCGTGGCACGCCACCGCTCCCCGCGGCACAGCCCACGCCGCCACGCTGGTCAGAATACCAAGACCGGCACCTGAGCCTCCTTCGCGGTACAGATTCATCCTCTTAGGCAAGGGAAAGAAGGACAGGTGTTGAAGCACCGACGAGCCAATCCGAAGCCGCTGCAACAATGCCACGGCAAAACCATCCTTCCGCCCTGCCCCTTCTTCCGGGCCCCACCCGCCCCCTTAGCCTGCTTGTTTCCGATTCGACCCACACACGGCCAGCGGGTGTCATTCGGGGAAAACACGACGTCGACCTACTGTGCCCCGCGTGCCCGCCGTTGTACGTACAACACGCGGCTGCATGCCCGGCCGACGTGCGTGTCTCTGGCCAAAGGAACGAGGCTAGGTCGTGGAGCGAGGCGAGGCTATCGGTAGCAGATCGAGATCGACCCGCTCGCTCGCTCGCTCGGCATCGGCTTGGCTTCCACGTGGAACTAGACGGAGGCAAGCCAAGCAGGCCGGCAGGCCGACAGGCAGGGTGGGACCAACCGAGATCCGGCATCCGAGCAGATCCCGATGCTCGGAAGGAAAACGACGCCGGCGTCCAGTCCATCGGTCCCGGTCTCGGTCACGGCGGGCGGATCGCGATGCCGATCCAGCCTTGCCTGCCTGCCTGCCCATCATCGGGTTAGGTACCCAGGTTGGCCGCCAAAGAGATGCAGGCAGGGCTCAGGTAGAAGATGCACTTGCCGATCTGGACGTACGTGCGCGCGACCCTGCCTCTGCCTGGCCTGCCACAGGGCCCTAGCTGCCTCGTCTCGTCTCGTCTCGTCTCGTCTCGACGCCGCGTCTAGGCCCGCTTGCTTCCGTATGTGCGTCGTTGGCGCGTACCCGTACTGTACCGAATCTCGACGACGGTCGCTCAGCCAGCTACTGTAGCTGACTATGACTTCGTTGCGCCACACGGCGGTCCGTATCGAAGAGCTCAGTTCGCTCCATCGAGCGGCATCCCCCTCGCAGTCGCAGAGCGAGCCAATCACGCAGAGGGCGAGGTCCTGATTGTGGCCACGACCAACACCAAGCTAGGAAGAGGGGTGTCCCCCTTGATGTGGGCACCGGCGAGACGGCGCGTCCATCTCGACCGCGACTGTCGCCGTCTCGTCGCTTGCAGACCATGTTCTCATCGCGTCCTGGTCTCGAAGCTTCTTCTGTACCCGTACCGTACCGTACCCTACCCTACCCTCGTACCGGTACCACAGGGATGCCCGCGCGGAACGGTACGGCACATTCGTTGCACAAAGCCAGGAATCGACCCAGGCAGGGCGGCAATGACGGCGGAGGAGGAGGTAGGAGGCTAGGATCCGAGAGCGAAACGCGCAGACAGGCAGGCAGGCTGCGCTCCGCACGAGGGAAAAAGAAGTGTTCTTCTTTGTGCCGATCCATGGTACGGTAAGGTACGGTACCCCTCAGCGTTTGTGCATCGACGAGCAGATCCACCTTCATGCGCCCTGCCATTCCCTGCCGTGCTATGCCATGCCATGCCATGCCATGCCATGGCTGGTCGTCGGGCTAACCATGCGTACCGTTGTAAAGATACCCTCCTGACGGCCGCCATGTCGCTGCCCCGTGCTCGGTCCAAACGAGAGCCTTCGCAAACGGCTGCGTTTGGCTGGGCACGGTTCCGGGGGCGAGAGGGTCGGTCACATCGGGACGAGCCGGAGACAAACAAGTTAAGCCGCTGTCCGCACCGTGTGCGCAGCACGCTGCGCTCCCAGGCGGCAGTCCCGGCCGCAACGCATGGCCAGGCCACGGCGAACAGGCGGGTCCGTCGATGCACCTGACCAGGCAACGCAAGTCCACCAACCGCGCGGCTCGCATGCGTCGACAAGATCGATTCAGGTGCTGCCGTGGCGTTCCTGCGCGCCGACGACACAGGCCGGAAGCAAAGTAGAACGCAACGATCTCCTTGTCCGACTCGGTGGCCCTCGAACGTCGATGTTACACGCCAGGCCAGACCGGACGTCGTCGTGTTGGCCGCACCTGGAGCAGGGCTCGCTCGGTTCCGGCTCCCCGCCCTCGGAGACGAACGAGCCGCCGAGGCCTCCGGCTGTGTTCAACGAAGCCAGATCGTCGCCGAAAGATGCGGTGGTGGCGGCTGCACTTGGACGCGAGAGCGCACCAGGGGTGAAAGCCTCGTCCGCCGCCCATTACAACATGGTGTGGCGGCTGGCGCTTGACGCAGTGAAAGAAAGGCCACCTGCGTGCGCGTCAGCCGGTACGCAAGGACGTCAAGCCATCATAGACCATGATTCGATACGGTACCGGTACCGGCCGGGCAGCGGTCAAAAAGACGCCGCAGCCCAAAGAGTCGCAACGGCCGCGTCTCTATGGTCACAGTACGCCCTTTGTTGCGCGCCGGAAAGCTCGAGCGCTGTGGCTCGATCCTTGGCTTGGCCGCCGCAGCAGCGCATGCTCCCCCGCGCGGGCTATTTCGAGGCAGGCTGTCCCCCTTGGACGGACGGACGGAGCATCGTCGGCCGGCGGCTCGAGGTGCTGTGCGTCGTTGGAGCCGCTCGGCTGCCGTGAACGCCGCAGCAGCGCTGAGCCCGCCGCGGTCGGGGCGCTGCACGACGTTGCCATGGCCATGCCTCGTCGTTGGCCCTAGTCTCGTGGCCGTCGTCGGCGCTGCTGGTCTGTTTGGGAACCACTCGGCGCAGCTGGTACGGGTCAAGACATGGGCCAAGGGCGGCGATGGTCGACGTGTCGTTTGCCAGGCGACACCGCCTCTCTCCCTTGCTTGAGAGGACGGCGCAGTCTCGCCCTGCGGCTGCCGCGTGCCAGCCGAGATCAGCTGCTCTCGACGTCGCCGCACAACGGGTCAGGAGATGGTGTGAGCAGCGTGGTGATGGCGGCAAGGGCAGCGACAAGAGGGTCGACGGTGACCGAGCGAGCGCCGTGGCTCAGCAAGCTAAGCAAGGCAACCTGACGCCGGACCCTGCGGTAGCCTGTCTGCCCAGCCCAGCCGGCCTGCCTGCTGCTGCTGCGTCGTGGTTGCGATCAACTGGGCCAGGCCAAGCTACAGAAGGCGGCGCGTGGATTTGCGTCGGCCCTGAGCGGAGGGAGGCGGGGCGGCACTCGAACGTACGTCGCCGGACACCGGTGGTGGCGGCAGGCTGGGGCCAGGCAGGCCAGGGCCTGGCAACAGGCGAGCTCGTTTGGGGCGGGCTTTCTCTGCCGGCAACGCGCAGAAAGAGGTGGGCCTAGCCTAGCGCAGCGGCGGCTGAGCGGCCGATGCGCCAGGTTGCACCTCGGGCTCCGAGCCATGGGGGCCGGGCAAGCCGGGACCCTCGCCCGCCCCTGCCCCTGCCCCTGGCCCCCCATCCACCCGTGCAAGCAAGCAAGCAACCAATCAAGCAAGCAAGCGCGGCCGTCTCTTTCTTTTTTCGTGCCTGCCTGCGTGGCTGGCTGGCTGGATGCCGCTGCCCTGCCCGCCTGGGGATTTTTCGTCTTTCTGCTGCTTGGTGCTGCCCTGCTTCCTGTTTTTTCCCCGCCGCCTTGGAGCGGTCCGCGTGCGGACGGACACGGGGCGGGCAGCTGCCTGGCGGGCTTAGCTTGCTGCCTGGGGGCTAGGCTGGGGTTGAGCCTCCGCACCCGACGCGCTGCTCGCTGCTTGGCGGGCCCGGTGTCGGCCTCGGTCTGCGTCTCTCTGTGGCCTGCAGGTGCGGCTGGCTGCACGGCTGCAGGTTGGCCTCTGCTTAGCTTGCTTGCCTGCTTGCTTGTTGGTCGCCTGCCTGGGTGAGCGAGCGGTGGCCTTGGCCCGGGTACTGCGTCCGGTGCTTTGGGTTGCGCTGGGCCTGGCAGCCAACAAGAAGGGCAGCGGCGTTGGCCTGTGTGTGGGCCGGGTTGGCAACTCGACGCTCGCTGACTTGCGCTGCTTGCGCTGCTTGGCTGCTCGCCTGCTCGCCTGCTCGCCCCGCTCGGTGGCCCCGTTTGGCTGACCGCCACCCGCCACCCGCCACCCTCGCCGCCTCGAGTTTGGCGCCTGGCAGGATCCACTCGCCATCCTGGCCCGCTCAGCCTTCATTCTTCTCTTCGTCTTCACCACCTCCCCTCTGGTCCCCTACGCCCGCCCGCCACGACGCATCCCTCCCTCCCTCTCTTTCTACCTTGGACCGCCTCTATCGCCTGGCCCGGTTCCGCTACACGTCGGTCGTCACCGCTCTGACGCCGCCGCTCTCTTGACGACCTTGACCCGACCCGACCCGACTCGGTCACAAAGACCCTTTGCCTCGGTCCTCTTTCTCGCACTCTGGGTGCAGTCACATCGGAACGCAGCTGCTCGTCTTCTTCTCCTTTCTCCGCCTCTCGCGCACCACATCGCCCCAACGCCTCCCTTTCTTCCTTCTGCTCGACCAACGTCTGCGATTTGCTGCCTACTTCGCTGCCCCGCCCACCCCCCTCTCTTCAGTGCCATCGGCCCATCTCTGCCGCCGCTGCTCCCGAATCGCGCTCCGGTCGATTCTTCCCCTCCTTCGCCCAGCGCTCACGCCTCTCCCTCGACACGACGCCACGCTCGCCACGCCGGCGCACCCTGCACCGCTACCGTATTCGTATCCTTTATAGAAGGATGCACCTGTCCCACGCACCTCCTACCGCATCCCTCTTCACCTCGTGATCCACCGCTGCTGCCGTCCACTTGATTCAATCACGACCAAGCTGCGGATCTGCTCTCTCTCGGTCGCCTTCAGCCCAAAAGTCGTGGTCCTCGCCATCCCAACACGGCAGCCCATCTGGCCTACGCCGCCAGAGGGACCCTTCCCTGCCACTCGTCGTGTGACGACCTTTCTCGTCGCTACAACCTCTTGGACCACCGGATCTCCCTCTGGAGCTGCCCTCTGGCTCGCGCAGGCCCACCGACGCTTGCGGCCACGGCATACTCCTTTGTACCGGCGCGACCCACCCGCCACTAGCCCGGCCCCAGACTCGACTCTACCCTACATAGCGCAACCGCCGATCGAACCACTGGTCAGCCCTTCTCCGACCGCAATCACCCCCGCACGCCGCCTGCTCCGCGGCCTCTGCCCTTGCCGGCGATTGCCAAAGCGACCGCCATGTCTTCGCCACCCAGAGACGGAGGCGCCTCTGGATCGGCCACCAACCCCAGGTCGCCCGGCGTCAACCAGCCCTTCATCTACCCAATACGCTCGGCCGTTTCGGTCAAGCCCCCCTCGGAACCGCACACGCCCGGCACACGCAGGTCGACCGAACGGGTCGGCTCCGCCTCGGGCACCGACGGCTCGCACGGCAGCGGCACCTTTTTCGACCTGCGCAATCGCCCAGAGGATGTCGACCGAAAGGCCGACCACGACCTCGGCCAGTTCCGGGTGCCCGACTCCGAGGGGACGGGCACCAATGGCACGCGCGACCTGCGGGATAAGCTCGAGGCCATGACCACCCGGCGCTTTGAGCATGTCGAGACGCCCGAGGGGCATATGATCTTGACGGGCAGGGAGGGCGAGCTTGCGCGCTGCGAAGACGAGGTGAGCAACGGGCAGATGATGGCCTTCCAGCGGCTGCGCTTTGAGAGGGTGCCGCCGTGACTGACATCCGCCCCTTGTCGCCTCTCTGCGCTCTTGCGACCCCCAACAGCCGATCCACGCGCCGGGAGCAGTGCAGTCGTTCGGGTGCATGATCGTCATCAACGTCGACAGGTCGGGGCAGCTGATAGTGCGGCAGGCGTCAGAGGTGAGTGATGCACGCGGCTCCCCTCGAAACGTACAGCGCTACGAGCATCCCAGCTCCTCCCCCGCCGCAGCCGAGTCGATTCGCTGACGTTCGTCCGCACCTTCCGTCTTGCCGTCCTCTCCTCCTCGTTTCCGCCGCGTCCTCAGAACACGGGCGATGTGCTCGGCCTATCGCCAGCCTACCTCTTCAGCCTCCAGTCGTTTGCCGACGTCTTTGACGAGGACCAGGCAGAGCTGCTGTGGGACAACATCGACACACTCGACGAGGGCGACCAGGACCTCTCCGAAGCCGGGCCCAGCGTCTTCCAGCTGCACGGCTCCTCGATGGCCACGTACGACAAGCGGCGCGAAAGGGATCCAGAGAGCTGCACGACCTGGAACGCGTGGTGCGCCGCGCACGTCCCGGAGAGGTCTGGCGGTGACGACGACGACGGCGAAATGACTGTCATCCTCGAGTTTGAGCTGGTCGATGATCCGGTCAATCCGATCGCGAGCTCGTCGCGGCCGCCCTCGCCGTCGTTTGACGAGGCTGCCCGCACGTCGGGTACATCGACCGGCGGCACCACGACGCAGCAGAGCTCGCCGCCGCCCAGCATCTCGACGGTCGACTCGGACGGCACCGTGTCGAGCACCGTCTACCAGGCCACGACGACGCGCAGCGGCCTCGAGGGCCAGGAGACGCGCCACGCGGCCGAGGACCTGCGCGAGTCGACGCAGACCATCCACCGGCCGCTCAAGGCGCTGTCGAGGATGCGGCGCAACAACGAGAGCGAGCAGCGGCGGACGCGGAGCCGGCGCCCCGGCGTGCTGCCCGGCAGCGGCAACGGCGACGGGACGGGCGGCATGCTCGACATGTTTGGCGTGCTGAGCCAGGTCAACGAGCAGCTATCGGCCCAGACCGACCTGACCAGCTTCCTCAAGGTGCTCGTGGGCATCGTGCGCGACATCACCCTCTTCAGCCGGGTGATGGTGTACCAGTTCGACGAGGCGTGGAACGGCCAGGTGGTTTGCGAGCTGGTCGACTGGTCCGACACCAACGACCTCTACCGCGGCCTCCACTTCCCCGCCACCGACATTCCCGCCCAGGCGCGCGCGCTGTACAAGATCAACAAGGTGCGGCTGCTCTACGACCGCGACCAGCAGACGGCGAGGATGGTGTGCCGCGACGCCTCGGACCTCGAGACGCCCATCGACATGACCCACGGCTTCCTGCGCGCCATGTCGCCCATCCACCTAAAGTACCTCGCCAACATGCAGGTGCGCTCGTCGATGTCGATCTCGATTGTCGCCTTTGGCGAGCTGTGGGGCCTCATCTCGCTCCACAACTACGGCGCCCGCGGCAGGCGGGTGTCGTTCCCCATCCGCCAGCTGTGCCGGCTGATTGGCGAGTCGGTCTCGCGCAACATCGAGCGGCTCAGCTACACCCGCCGGCTGTCGGCGCGCAAGCTGATCAACACGCTGCCCACCGACCAGAACCCCAGCGGCTACATCATCTCCAACGCCGAGGACCTGCTGACGCTGTTCGACGCCGACTTTGGCGTCATCGCCATCGGCAACGAGGCCAAGATCCTCGGTCCGCTGAGCGCCAGCCAAGAGGTGCTGGCGGTGACCGAGTATCTGCGCATCAAAAAGTTTGAGCATCTTGTCACCTCGCAGGACGTGCGCAAGGATTTCCCGGACATGGTGCTACCGACGGGCCTCGAGGTCATCGCCGGGCTGTTGCTGGTGCCGCTATCGGGCAGCGGCGTCGACTTTATCGCCTTCCTCCGCAAGGCGCAGCTGCGCCACGTCAACTGGGCGGGCAAGCCGTTCAAGCAAGGCATGGAGGCGAGGGCGATGCTCGAGCCGCGCAAGTCGTTCAAGGTGTGGTCCGAGACGGTGCAGGGCACGTGCCGGGCGTGGAAGGACGAGGAGCTCGAGACGGCCTCGGTGCTCTGCCTCGTCTACGGCAAGTTTATCTCGGTCTGGCGCCAGCGCGAGCAGGCGCTCCACTACAACCAGCTCAACCGCCTCCTCCTCTCCAACGCCAGCCACGAGGTGCGCACGCCACTCAACCACATCATCAACTACCTCGAGCTCGCCCTCGACAGCCGCCTCGACGAAGACACGCGCGAGAACCTGAGCAAGTCGCACATGGCGTCCAAGAGCCTCCTCTTTGTCATCAACGACCTGCTCGACCTGACCAAGCAGGAGCAGGGCAACAAGCTCTTCCTCCAGGAGCCCTTTGACCTGGCCGCCACCGTCCGCGAGGCCGTCGAGATGCACGAGTGGGAGGCCAAGAGGCGCAGGATCGACTTCACGCTCGTCACCGAGCCGTCGGTCTGCCGCGTGCTGGGCGATCGCAACCGCGTCCGGCAGGTGGTCACCAACATCGTCACTAACTCGGTCAAGTACACCACCGAGGGCCACATCCACGTCTCGATGAAGCAGCGGCCCGAGGACGAGCGAAGCGAAGACCTGCCGCAGGGCTGCAACATCGAGATCGAGCTCATCATCTCGGACACGGGCGAGGGCATCCCCCGCGAGAAGCTCGAGGCCATCTTCCGCGAGTTTGAGCAGGTCGAGTCGGTAATCGCCGAGCCCGGGCGGGGCGACGGCCAGGACCTCATCGAGCCTGACCCGTCGGCCGCCGACGCCAAGCCGGACAGCGGCATCGGCCTCGGCCTGGCCATCGTGGCGCGCATCGTCAAGAATCTCGGCGGCCAGCTGCGCGTCGACTCGACCGTCGGCGAGGGCTCCACCTTCACGTTCTACATCCCCTTCTGCTCGGCCACCGACGGCGATGGCAACGCGCGCAAGGGCACCGAGTCGCTGTCGATGCGCAGGTCCAACTCGCTCGGCAGCGGCAGCATGAGCTCCAACGGCAAGAGCGAGATCGACTCGCTCGTCGAGGCCATCCGCGAGCCCATCTTGCGAGACCCGTCCAACGACAACGGCAACGGCAATGGCAACGGCGACGCGGGCAGCTCCGGCGGCCGCAGGTCGATTGAAAACGGGCCGGCGGGGCCCAGGAGCGGCGCGCCCACCTTTACCGTCAGCCGGCCGGCCAACTTCCATCGCGGCGAGTCCCAGGACGGCATGCACCAGGTCGAGGGCAGCGGCATCCCCGTCCGCTCCGTCAAGGTCGAGCCGCAGACGCTCGATGCCGACGATCGGATGCAACGATCGACGTCGGCCGGATCGACCCGGCGCAAGTCGTCGGCCGAGGCCTTCAAGGAGGCGGTCCAGAGCAGGGACCACGAGCCAAGCCAGGCTGGACGGCGGGCCAGCAATGGCGGCGCCCAAGAGGTCACGCCTTGCGCCCAGGCCGCCGACGAGACGCTGGCAGAGAGGCGGGACCAGGCGGTGCCAGACATGCAGCTGCCGCAGGCGTCTGCTGCGGACGGGAGCGCCGTTGCCGTTTCAGACGAGTCGCCCAGCGTCGAGCTGCCCGAGACGCCACCCAGCGGAGGGTCCCGGGACGGCGCAGCCAAGGGGGAGCGTCGCTCGTCGAGCTCGGCGCAGCGGCGGAGGCTCCAAAACGTCCGCTCGCAGCTCAAGAACCAGGCGGCCGCCGGCTCGCCCACGCCCGAGAAGCTCGCGCCGCTCCGCGTCCTCGTCGTCGAGGACGACCCCATCAACCGAATGATCCTCAAGAAACGCCTGGGCATGGACGGCCACACGGTGTTGCAGGCCGTCAACGGCGAGGAGGGCGTGCGGCAGTTTGAGAAGGACGCCAACGAGATCGACTGCATCCTGATGGACCTCCAGATGCCCATCTGCAACGGCCAGGAGGCGTGCAAGCGGATCCGCCAGTGCGAGCAGACGCGCTCGCGCAGCGGCCAGATCTCGGGCCGGCCGCCGGCGCAGATCCTCAACGGCCGCGTGCCCATCCTCGCCGTATCGGCCACCCTGACGCACTCGATGCGCGAAGAGATGACCGAGATCGGCATGGACGGCTGGGTGCTCAAGCCCATCGACTTTGGCCGGCTCAGCGCGCTGATGCGGGGCCTGCTGCACACCGAGGACCGCAAGAGCAACCAGTGGGAACCCGGCTACGTCTGGGAAAAGGGCGGCTGGCTGTCGCGCCCGGCCTCGAGGCCCGTGTCGGGCGGTGGCGAGACTGGACAGTGAGGTGCGGCGATCATGGCCCGACACTTTCGACGATGATCCCGTCCTCGATGACGGTTGCCCCGGCCTTCCCATCTAGCTGGCGCCACCGCGGGCGGCCCGCAGGCATGCCGACCCCTGCCAGCTTGGGCTCTTCCTCTCTCCGCCCTCGACGCACCTCCTCGCACAGGCTCATTGAGCTGTCTGCGGAAACGGAACCGCCCAACGATGGAGCGAGCGGCGCGGCAAGGACCGACCTGCCCTCGGAATACCTGCAGCGTGCTGAATCGCACGGCATCACCTCGTCGCACGATCGTCACCCCTCCCCGCCGCCGCTGCCGCGACCGCCTGAGTCGTCGACCTGATACTCAGGCTGGCCCTCTCTATTCTGCCGCGCTGCAGATCCGCACTCTCTGCGGCCGGCCCACCGACTGGCATGCGGCGCCAGGCCGTCATCGCAGCCTCGCCGCGGGCACCGTGCCATGCCATGCCATCGGTCACCTATCTCTCTCTCTCTCGAGACTCGGCCAAGGCTGCCGCTTGCATACATTTCTTGTCGCCTGCCCTCCGCCGCCCCTTGGCTTCCCCCCGCCCCACTCTCCCCGCCTTATTTCCTCAGTCACCGTTCCACCTGCCGCCGCTTCCCTCGCATCCGCCAACACCACCACCACCATCGGACCAACCCGACCCGACCTCGCTCGAGGACCTCTGATCGCAAACCTACACACGCAAACGCTCCATGATCGTCACACACACATCCCGACCCCGCCCTTTTTTGTCCATTCTTGATTGCTCATCCCTCATCCTCATCCTCTCTCTCTCTCTAAGTTCGGCCCCTCCCTCTCCTCTCATTCGGTCCTCCCTCCTCTTCCTCCTCCTTTCTGTCGCGCTCTCTCTCTCTCTCTCTCTCTCTCTCTCT